GATTTGTTAGTTTCATTTTAAGATTTTTCATTGTTTGTTGTTAGTTGCAGTTGAGTCAATTTTGACTCATGGCAACTTCATTTACAACAGAACAAAATGTCTATGTTGCGACATATTCATGACCATATGGATATGTTTGATTCCATTGTTGAGGCCCCTGCATATTTTGAGTGCCTTCCAACCAGGGGGGATCATCTTCCAATACTATATCAGACTGTATGCTATTGTGACCCATAGGGTTTTCATTGGGTAATTTTTGGAAGTAGATTGCCTGGTCTGTCTTAGTTTGAAAACTCTGCTGAAACCTATCCACCATTGTGACCCTGCTGGTATTTAGAATACTGGTCACATAGCTTCCAGCAGCATAGCAACACACAAACTACCACAGTATGACAAACTGACAGATGGGTGGTGGTGTTCACTGCTAGAGTACAGAAATACATTAATTTGTACATATTGACCTTATATCCTGCCACCTTGTTCAACTCATTTCTAGCAGTCTTTTTTTTTTTTAATTCCTTAGGATTTTCTCTACACAATATCATGCCATCTGTGAATAGAGACTTCCCATCTGATGCCTTTTATTTCTTGGTCTTGCCTAATTGATTTCTGGTACAGTGTTGAGTGGAAATGGTGAGAGTGAACATCTTTATCTCGCTCTTGATCTTAGGGGGGAAGCTTTCAGTCTTTCACTATTAAGTATGATGTCAGCTGTGGAATTTTCATAGATGCCCTTTATCAGGTTGAGGAAGTTTCCGTCTATTCCTAATTTGTTGAAAGATTTTATCATGAAGGGTTTTGGATTTTGTCAAGTGCTTTTACTATGTCTATTGAGATGATCAAGCAGTTTTGTCAATTATTCTATTAATATGGTGTATGTTTTAGTTTCCTAGGGCTGCCATAACAAAATATGACAAAGTCCATGGCTTTAAACAACAGAAATTTATTTATATTCTCACAGTTCTAAGGCTAGAAGTTCTGATTCAGGGTTTTGGCAGGGCTATGCTTTCTCTCTCTGTTGGCTCTAGGGTAAGATCCTTTCTTGTCTCTTTCAGCTTCTGGTTGCCCTGGATGTTTCCTGGTATTCTTGGACTGTGGATAGATCCTCACAGGCTGTCTTCCCCTGTGTGTGGACTGTTTCCATACCTGTCTTTCTTTTTTATAAGACACCACTTAGAAGGAATTAGGATTAGGACTCACTGTACTTCAGTGTGGCTTCATTAACTTAATAACTTATAACATATGCAAAGAAATTCCAAGGACATGTACAAAGAACTCTTTGAAATAATAATGGAGTTTTCAAAGTTGCAGGATACAGTCAACAACAACACCAAAACAACTGTGGGAGGGAGGGAGAGAGGTACTCACTAACTAGAAAGCAGATAAAAATTATCTTAGGTAAAGGGAAGGACAGCACATACTACAGGGGCAGTCAGCACAACTGGACTAAACCAAAGCTAAGAAGTTTCCTGAATACAACCAAACACTTTGAGGGACAGAGTAGCAGGGGCAGGGGTCTGGGGACCATGCTTTAAGGGGACATCTAGGTCAAACTGGCATAACAAAGTTTTTAAAGTAAATGTTCTGCATCCCACTTTGGTGAGTGGCGTCTGGGGTCTTAAAAGCTATCGAGCGGCCATCTAAGATGCATCAGTTGGTCCCAACCCACCTGAAGTAAAGCAGAATGAAGAACACCATGGACACAAGGAAAGTATTAGCCCAAGAGACAGAAAAGGACACATAAACTAGAGACTTCATCAGCCTGAGACCAGAAGAACTAGATGGTGCCCAGCTACCACAATGACCGGCCTGACAGGGAACACAACAGAGAGTCCTTGATGGAGCAGGAAAAAAGTGAGGTGCAGAAGTCAAATTCTAGTAAAAAGACCAGACTTAATGGTTAGTTTGAGATTGCAGGGACCCTGGAAGACATGGCCCCCAGGATCTCTGTTAGCCCAAAACTAAAACCATTCCTGAGGCCAACTCTTCAGACAAAGATTAGACTGGACTATGGGACATAAAATGATACTCGTGAAGAATGTACTTCTTAGCTCAAGTAGATACATGAGACTAAATGGGCAGCTCCTGTCCAGAGGTGAGATGAGAAGGCAGAGAGGGTGAGGAGCTGGTTGAATGGAAACAGGAAATCTGGGGTGGAAAGGAAGAGTGTGCTGTCACAGTATGGAGAGAGCAAGGAGGGTTACAAAACAATGTATGTATAAATTTTTGTATGTGAAACTAACTTGAATTGTAAACTTCCACTTAAAGCACAATAAAAAAATTGTATTTCTATAATTTCGAAATAAAAAATTGGAAACTGATATTTTTAAGAATACCACCTACAATATCTCCATGATATGAAATATTTAAGCTCAAATCTTACAAGAAGTATGCAAGATTTGAATAATGAAAATAAAAAAATTCTGGTGAAACAAATCAAAAAGGCCTAAGCAAATAGAGAAACATACTGTATTCATGGATTGGAAGACTTAATATAGATAATATATCTTCAAGATGACCTATAAGTTTAACACAAGTCCAATCAAATCTCAGCAGAATTTTTCGTATATATAGACAAACTCATTTTAAAATCTATGTGGGAAGGAAAAAAAATGTTGTGGAAAGAAGGGATGCATACATTTATGGAACAGACTAGAGAGACCAGAAATAGACTCACACAAATATGCTCAAGTGATTTTTGACAAAGGTACAAAAGTAATTCAATGGAGAAAGGATATTCTTTCAGCAAAGGGTGTTGGAAAAATCATACATTTCTATGCCAAAAAAAAAAAAAATGGAGGCACTACTAAGACAATGAAATGACAAGATTCAGGCTAGAATAAATGCACTTGCACATTACACGTATGAGAAAGAACTTGTATCTAGAATATATAAAGAGATCTTACAACCCAGCAATAAGAAAACAAACAACCCAATAAAAATAGACAAAGGTTTTTAACAGACACATGAACAGACCAGAAAATATATGGATGGCAAATAAGGCTCATTATCATTGACCACTAGAGACATTAAAATTGAAACACAATAGAGAAATTTAAATAAAAATTTTGATGAGGTTGAGGAGCAATTATTCTTGGTGAGGAAATGAAGTATTATTAGTGGGACTGCACAACGGTACAGCCACTCTGGAAAAATTTGGCAGTTTTTTAATAAAGTTGAACCTACTCTTACCACATAATCCAGTAATCTGATTCCTAGATATTTACTATAGAGAACTCAAAACCTATGTTCACACAAAAATGTTTACATGAATGTCTATAGAAGCTTTATTCATGATTTCTCAAATCTGGAAAAAACATAAATATTCTTCAGCAGGTGAATAGATAAGCAAACTTTAGTACACCTATTCAACAGAATAATACTCAGAAAAAAGTGACAGCAAATTATTAATACCCATATTAATATGGATGAATACCAAAAGCCTTATGCTGAGTGAAAGGAGCCAGTATCAAAAGTTTACAAATTGTGCAATTCCATGTATACGACATTCTGGAAAATAACAAAACTATAGAGACGGAAAACAGATCAATTATTGTCAGGCTAGGGGTTTGGAGAAGGTTGGACTACAAAGGGAGCCCCTGGGTGGCAGAAACAGTTAAGTGCTCAACCAGTAATCAAAAGGTTGGTGGTTCAAACCCACCCAGCAACTCCTTGGAAGAAAGGCCTGGCAATCTGATTGTGAAAGGTCACGGCTTTGAAAATCCTATGGAGTGAAGTCATAATCAACTCAATGGCAAAGGGTTTGATTTTTGGTTTGGACTATAAAGGGATAGCAGGAGGGAGCCCTGGTGGCACAGTGGTTAAGTGCTAAGACTGTTCACCAAAAAGGTTAGCAGTTAGACTCCACCGGCTGCTCCTTGGAAACCCTATGGGGCAGTTTTACTCTGTCCTATAGAGTCGCTATGAGTTGGAATGGACTTGAAACCAATGGGTTTGATTAGGAGAGATTTTATTTGGGTAATGGAACTGTTATGTACCCTGAATGTAGTAGTGTTGACATGAATCTATACATGTGTTAAAATTCATATGACTGTATCCGCAAGAAATCAATTTTACTGCATGTAGATTTAACAAAAAAACTTTCAAAACATGAGTGTAAGAAAAGACAGGAATGATTAATACCTCAGGAGAGAATGGAGATGGTAAAAAATGTGTCTGTAATGTAGATGAAGTTCACACACAGAGAGCTGAAGAGCAAACTTGTAAAGATTCACCTTTCTCTGAATGTCATAGTGGGGTAGACAACTGAGAACACTTCAACTGTGTGTTTATTTAAAACATTTTTTTTTCTGAATACTCACTTTATAAACACAGCATAAAAACCAAAGGCACAAGAGAATACAAAATGAAAAATTAATCTCCCGTAATTCCTACCCTTGTCCAATATTCAAGAACTTTCCACACTGTATAGACAATCACAGACACTAGTTCTTTGTGTATATTTACAATGATAATATGATTATATTATGTGAGTGCATATATGTGATACATATATTTACTATACTATAGTAAATATACTATAATGCATACTATACCATAACATATTTAATGTAAATATATATTTACATTAAACAAACATACCGCAAGCAACACACCCTTTTGAACACTGCACCTAGCTTTTGTGAGCCAATTTATGAGGGAGATAAAATGGTAGGAAAAGCCATGGAAAAAATGAAAAAAATAATTTACTCCTGATACGGGAGAATTCACCCTATGACTAGACGCATCTATCTTCCATGACTGGCAGGGTATATGATGTTCCCAGGACAGGACTGGCCACATGGTGAGGGTTATCATCAGGTTTTGCTGTTTCAGTCACTGGACAAGATGGTCAGGTGCCCTGAATCACCAGACCAAAGCCTGAAGAAAGGCCTTAAGGACCCATAGAAGAGGCACTGATTAAATGTATGAATGTGGGATTTATCTGTCATATTATAAAATGAGATACATCTATCCTCATGTTCTAGGAAAATACATACTCTGGCAGGGGGATCTTTTAGAGTAAGCTGTGTTTCTGGAGAGGTCAGTGCCCAGTACTCATTCCTATAAAACCTGATGACCCAGAAACCATCCTCAGGTTTTACGACAACCCTCCCCTTCCTCATTACATTATCCCTACAAATGCCTAGGCCCCAAGCTCCACTGTCCCCAACCTCCACCTCCCAGTAGCATCTCCCTGAGGTGCCGACTTGCCGACCCAGCACACAGGGAAGTGGATAAAATCTCTGTGGCTTATCAGGTAGTTCTTGAGGCTTCTCACTCCAGGTTACACATCGTCTCTCTTCAGACAAGCTGAGGTTAGGATGGGCTGTGTCTGGGTCCAGACTCACATTTGCTGCAAAGATAATTACTCGTTTAATTTCTAAAAAGCTTAGAATGACTCTGGAAACAGAGATATCTATATTAGAGAGATATATCTGGGTCTGTGGGAGATGTATATGTTCTCATGTGGAGTCTGTCACCGCCCTTCTCCAACAACTTCCCCTGAGGTTGAGCCTGAGAATAACAAGCAGAGTCCCTTCTACACCATCAAGGAATAACTCACCAGCCTGGAAAAGTTCTTTCCTCCAGTCTGGAAAAAAACAGAAATGTGCATCTTGAAGCCTTTTATTTGAATTTCCTGGTAGAAGAAGTAACTTATTCTTTCTAATACTTCCTTTGCTGATGTCCCAAATTTCTTTTGTACCTTTTGCTCAATCTAATTTTCCACTGATTTGCTTATTAAACATTTCTGTAAGAATTAATTCCTCTAACTTATGCTTTCTGTGGTACAGAGTACTGGTGCTCCCCAAGATGAAGTTATCCCTTCTTAGCAGACAGCAAAATTAAATGACCATAATGCACTTGCTGTGGATTTGTGAAAAAAGAAAAGGTAAATTCAACTATCTGAACAAAGAAACTCTGTCTTAATTTCTTAATATGTGCTTTAATTAACTTCTAAGTGTGTTGTGAGGCATAGGTGAGAAAAAGATCAAAAGAAAAATATTTTTTAAATTATCATTCTTACTAAGGTTTCTAGGGAAAAGAAATGATATATAGCATATTGGCTTCTGTTTCATGCCTTATTTAGAATGATGTTTACAGAATTTCGGGTCTCAGTTACATATCATATAACTGAGGAGGTTAATAATGGTCATAAAAATGTCACTTACCAGGGTACAATGATGTTTTCTGCCAGCCTGCAATTGGACCAAATGATGAAATATCATTCACCTCTCCTGGTACTCTTTATAGCTTCTCTTCTCAGCACTAATATTCTATCACTATTCAGTTGCATATATAACACTCTATGTGACCATTGTCTCCCTAAACTTGAAAGTCTTTGGGTTTGTGTATATGTGTGGAGAAATACAAGTCAGAAGAAAAGACAAAAAAGAGAAGGAAGAGGAGAAAAAGAAACAGAAGAAAGGAATGGTCGCAGAAAAGATGGATAGTTTAAGAAATGAAGGTGGGAAGAAGGAAGGAGGCAAAGAAGAAGGAAAGAGGGAAGTAAAAAACAATAAAGGAAGGAAGGAAAAGTGAAAGGGAGGAAAAAAGGAATGGGAGATGAAAGGACTGAAAAAACAAAAAAGGAAGGAAGAACAGAGTAATGGAATAAAGAATTGAGAAAGAGTGAGACCCACAGTATCAACAAATAAAAGAGACAATGAAGAGAAAGCTAAAGAAATATTTATTAAAATAATTTCATTTTTTTCTTTTCATCTCAATGAAAGGATGTTCCAAATAAAGTAAAAGAAAGTGTTCAACATCTTTTCTATATTCTCTTTCACTGATGCTCCTTCACAGTGAACATAGCCAATGGTATACTCTGCCTGAACATTTTTTGGGAATGAGGCTTAGAGAAGCATTGAGCCTCTTATTATTTGTGGAATTTCATTGCCTGAAAGAACTTCTGAGTCACTTACCCATCCGGAATTGAGCCTTCCTCTCATCTGAAAGGAGATGCACACTTAAGACTTGGCCTCTCAAAGAGACAAACATGCAGAAGCAAAGATATGCAGTTATCTGAGGAGTTTCCCATAATATTGCCATCACTGTAGTCAAGCCTTTGTTCCCTTCCAAAATTAATTCTCATAGATAAAAAGAAGTTCAATCATATGCTCTTGAAACATATTTTGATTTTAAACACATAATCAAGGTAAGCAGGGAAATATTCTTAACTTGGTAACTTCAATATAGAGACAATAAAACAAAAAATAAAACAC